CCTCCAGCCTCCATAGGTTTTTGCCATAGGGCGGGCGCCACCATGCCCTTGTTTTTCTTTTATATAATAATCTTTTTTTTTTTTTTTGGAGAGGTTTTTGCTATAGGGAGCATGCGCTCACCAGAGAGACAGAGAGACAGAAAGCAAGAAATCACCCCCCGGGGGATGGCCATGCCGCAATCCCTTCTCCTCCATTCTCCTCTCAGGACCTTGGGCACGCACGCACATGTGCCCAGCATGAGTTTAAGCCACCAGGTCCGGGACTCGAAACGTGGTCGACTACATGGAAGTCCAGCAACATAGCCATTACGCTAAGAATTTTTGTAAGACAGAAAACAAATGATTTATTCAAGGATATAAGCCCTGCTAAACATAAACTACATTGTAGCCTTAATAAAGCTCTGCCCAGTTATATCTTCCTCAGGAGATTGCAAGGTTCATCAGCTCATCAGTCCTGTAGGCACTATCTTGCATCTCTCTTTCCCCACAGGAATTTAAATTAGTCATTGGCTTCAAAAAGAGCTAGAAGTGTTCCTATACAGAAATATACTGGCTTTGTTTTGGGGGGAAGAGGAGTATTTGTGAAGCTAGAGGTTTGGCTGTAACTTTATCACATTACAGTTTCTGAATGTTGTGGAATTATTAAAACATACCTGTTTATTTCATTTGGTCTTTTGGGATTTAACAAGCAAGTTCTTGTCATATCAGTGATACAGAGGAATACTACTTTTTTTTTTTCCAACTCATGCCAGTGAAAAGTCATGCAAGTGTTTCCAAATATCATAGTCTCTGAAACTGTGACGTTAAACAAAAAGTAAGCACAGTCAGTATAGCTTGGTTATTTTTGCCTTTGAAAATTGTTTTCTGTTGTTCTGCCTTAATAATAGATTTTTTTGTTTTGTTTTCTGAATTATGTGATATTAGAAAGTTACTTAACTTTATTGTTCATAGTGTTTTAATCTTTGACATTATCAGCACCTGTCCTAACTATTTTGAGAATATAGTCAGTCATTTTAGATCTTTGTAAGCAAATTGTAGCATCTTTAAATTATTATTTATAGACTATCTCACTTTTTTTAGAATGATTTAATTTATTATTTTTATTACTTTTTTAAAAGTTTTGACCAGAGAAAGAACAAGAGAGAAAGGGAAAGTGAGTAATCAAGCTGCTAGGTCCAGGACTCAAACCATGGTCAGCCATGTGAGAGTACAACACCTTAACCATTGAGCTACCTGCCGGCCCCTAGACTATCTCACTTTAATTTATAGGAAAAAAACAATCCTGCTAGCTTCTCTTGCTTCTCACTGTGGCCCAATTTGATTATTTTTTTTAAACTCAATTTTGTCATACACACAGAGATAACAGTGCTTTCAAATTTCAAGCAGGATTGAACAAAAATCAATACATAATAAATTGATTATTTTTAGAGTGGTCTTTGTTGTGGGCTGTAAAATAATTTACAAACTCAGAGGGAAAGCAGATAGAAAGTTGATTCACTTTCTAAGAAAGGAAGGGAGCCACCTGGGAGAGTTGCATTGGCACTGAAGGTGAGGGCCAGGAGTTTTTATTGGGACTTAAGGAAAGGAGAGGAGCAATGGTTGGGTAATTGTGGTAATCCCGGACAGGACATCTGTTGGTGCTTGGATTGTACCATTGTTATTTCTGGATGTTCTATCTGGCTGCTGTAGTCTGCCGGGTATTGAGTCCTTAGTTTTGGTCTCAGCTGTTGATGGATATAACAATCTTTATGTCTGAAGGTAAGAACTTAGAAAAATTCAGGGTCATCTGTCTGTGACTAAGTCATGAAAGGACCAACTAAGGAAAAAAAGGGAGGGGAGCAAGAATGTCTGAAGCACCTGGGAGTCGTGAATGGGCTTTTTAGTTATAATGTCTAAGGGCCAGTGAGACACTGGGTCAACCCTTTTCCATTCCTAGGGTGCTTGGGATTTGACCTTTTCCATTATGAGAGGTACCACAGTGACTTACATGCTTGCCACTAAAACGTGACCTTGCTGAGGCCCCCAGAGTAATCGATCCATGATACCCCCTCAGCTTTCAAAGTCTGCAGTGCCGCTTGTCTGGTGATTGTCTCTCATTTCTGAAGAGTATAATATACATTCTCTTTACTTTGAAGTTGACTGTGTTGAGGGAACTCCTAGAATCTTAATATAGAATATTAGATCAACTCAGAGGACTTTGTGTATAACTAAGTCTATTTAATTGTTGCTTTTCACACCAGAGGGATGGATAAGAAGTGCCATGTAGGTGTAATTGTAAATTCCTAATTTTTAAAATTAATATTAGGTTAATGTTCCAGAGACACTTTGTGATGTATACTCATTCTTACATCTTTCTCTTTCTTAATTTTCTGTTGCCAGTTAATAACACAGTGGATTTTACAACAGTGAAATTCCTGCTTCAGGATTCTAAAAGTTTGTTACATGCTTTCAGTACAAGGTCAGATTATGATGGTAATCTTCCACAGGCCTTTGCTCAAGTAAACAAACTGCTCCAAACATTAGCAGAGGTAAGATACCTTTGGATTGCCATTGGCCACAGCTAAGCACATACATTCTAAAAATGTATTTAGCAGACAACAGTACGTAAGGATAATTTAACTCTGACTTACTCTGACATACTAGAAGCATTAAGTTAATATTAAGTGAATTGAATAGAGTATACTTATCATGACATATAAAACACACATCTTTTTATGGAAGCAGTGCCACAGCAGTTGTTGGGATTTTGTCTTACTTCATTTGTATATAGATAAACGCTATGCATTGTTGTTTGGTTACTCATTTCTAGGACTGTAGACCAGAGGATCTGTTGTGTTTCAGAAACACCTAGGAAGTTGCTTTTTGTCTGTTTGTTTGTTTTTAAGTTTATTTCTTCCATGAGAGAGAGAGAGAGAGATCCATAACAGCGTATCTGTGTTATATGATTCACCTCTAGTCTCAGCCAGCCTGGATCATGGGTGTGTCTGCCCTGGTGTGTACAGAGAGGCCTTCCTGTGTAGGTTCAATCTATCTATCTATATATATCTACCTAGCTACCTGTCTACCTATTTAACTATTCACAATTTTTTTCTGAGCTATTTGAGAGTACATTGCAGTTATACTCCTTTACCAAAATATTTTCTGTTTTTGTTGTTTTTTTTTTGAAGAAGTTTTTGTTATAGGGTGCATGAGCTTGCCAGAAAGACGGAGACAGAGATAGAAAGCGGAACTCATCCCCCAAGGCGGATGGCAACGCTGTGCTCCCTTTTCCTCCATTCTCCTCTTGGGATCCTGGGCACACACGCACAAGCGCCCTGTGTGAGTTTAAGCCACCAAATCTGGGACTCGAACCGTGGTCAACTACATGGAAGTCCAGTGACATAGCCATAACGCCATCTGCTGGTCCCCCAAATATTTTCATATGTACATTTCTAAAAAAATAAGGCTGTTTTATGTAATATGGTATTATTAACCAGGAAATTAACATAGATATAATAGTAATCTAATCTTTAACTGTGTCAGTTGGCCAGTAATTTTTTTTTAACAGATTTTTGCCGTAGAGCATGTATGCTTATCAGAGAGAGCGAGAGACAGAGACAATGAGAGGGAAAGTGAGAAATCACTTCCCAGTGGGGATAGCCACACCACAGTCCCTTCTCCATTCTCCTCCTGGGATCTTGGACATGCACACACATGCTCCCAGTGTGTTTCAAGTCACCAAGTCTGGGACTTGAACTGTAGTCGAGCATGTGGGAGTCTAGCAACTTAACTGCTCCATTATCTCCTGGCCCCAGTGATTATTACTTTTTATTTGTAGAGTGACTTTTGCTACAAGGCACACGCACTTACAAGAGAGACAGAGAGGTAGAAAGTAAGAAATTACTCCCCAGTGGGAACAGCCATGCCACAATCCCTTCTCATCCATTCTCTTCTCAGGATTTTGGCGTGCACGCACATGCACCCAGTGTGAGTTTTACACTGCCTGTTACAGGACTCAAACTGCAGTGGCTACATTGGAATCCAGTGACATAACCATTATGCCATCTGCTAGTCCTCCCTAGTGAATTTTTTTTTTTTTTTGGAGAAGTTTTTGCTATTGGGCGTGTACGCTCGCCAGACAGACAGAGACAGAGAGACAGCGAGAAATCACCCCCCGGGGGAATGGCCATGCCGCAATCCCTTCTCCTCCATTCTCCTCTCGGGATCTTGGGCACACACGCAAACACGCTGCGGTCGACTACGTGGGAGTCTAGCAACATAGCCATTATGCTAACTGCTGGTCCCCCCCCCCCCCCGGGACTCAAGTTTCCTCAGATTATTCTTAAGTAGCCACCGTAACACTAATGTATTTTTATTTCTTTTAAAATTAACTCTAAATTTTGTCCCCATTAACGCTCTATTTCTACAGTCTTCTCATTTCAACAATTCTGGGAGTTTTAAGCTAAAAAAAATTCAGTATCACAACTACTTAAGATATTAATGAAATTCTTATGTAATAAAGATACTGAATTCTTTTTTTCCTGAGAAACTGATTTGGCAGGTTTTCCTCATTGGTTTTTCATGGTTGGTTAGCCACCACCTATGAAGTAAACAATCAGATGATACTCATCTTAGTCACAGTTGGTGAGGAGAGAACTTTGCTTGCTAAGAGAGTATTTCATGAAATAAAAGAAGTATCTTTTAAAAAAGTATAGTAGAAATACATGATAGTTCTTACGTATGTATTTATTTATACTTTGAGAGAGGGGCACCCCAGCAGGGTCTTCATGCCACAACCCACCTACAGCCTCAGCTACAACGAGGGCCTTTGGGCTGAACCTGGGACCTTCCCTTGTGGGTCCAACTGTGTTACTTCTGTGCTGGTATCTGGCTCCATCTGTGATTCTTGAGGAAAGAACTGATTACAGAGGTGAAATGATCTTTTGGTTTGAGATGACCAAAACATTGGTAGTTTTGGTTTTTATGGCAAGTTGGACTTACAGAATGACAGGTTGAGCGTCCCTAATTCACAGTGCTCCAAAATGTGAAATTTGAGCTCCAACATGATGCTACAGGCAGGAAATTCTATACACGTCTCGAGTCACAGACAAAATATTATATGAAATTACCTTTATGCTATGTATACAAGGTGTACATGAAACATAAATCAATTTCATGTTCAGACCTGGGTCCTATCCCCAAGATTTCTTATTAGTATATGCAAATATCCCCAAGTCTGAGAAAATTCAGAATGTGAAATACTTCTGGTCCCAGGCATTCTGGATATGAGTATTCCTACTAAGTCTCAACCTGTATTAGTAGGAAAGAATGGACCTGGGAATATGGGAATTGCAGCTTGAATACTATAAAATATTGTAATTGTAAAATAGTTACTGTAAAAATATTATCTTTTTTTATCACAGAATTGAGTCCTAAACAAACATAGTGAGCAAGATGGAAAGTTGAATATATTTACAGGCTTAACAGTCTTTGGATTAAAATTATTGAGAATAAAACAAAATTTAGGATTGATTAAAATAAAAATATTAATGTCAGGTTTTAAGCTTTTTTCATTAGTTGGAAACCTAAAGGTGGTAGGTAGCTTGAAACCGTGATGTTAAAATTTACTGCTGTTGAGGCCACCAGATGGCATAGTGGTTATATCACTGGACTCCCACATGGGTGACCACTGTTCAAGTCCTGGACCCAGTGGCTTGAAACTCATGCCAGGTGCATGTGCTTGTATGCCCAAGATCTCTGGAGGAGACTTGAGAAGGGATTGCAGTGTGGCCATCACCCCATGGAGGGATAATTTTTCACTTTCCTGCTCTCTGTATCTCTGGAGAGCACACGTGCCCTTTGGCAAAGAAAATCTTTAAAAATTTTTTTAGTGCTGTTTAGCATTTAATGGTATTTCTGCTGTCTACCAGGGGATCTTCAAAAAGTTCATGAAAAATGTGTATTATGAAAAAACAATGCATGTATTTAAAATATTTTATGTCAAAATACACTTGTACTTTAATTCTATTATCCCAAGAACTTTTTAAAGTTCCCTTGTATATGCTACCCACTGTGTATTTAAAACATAGTAAATACCAGAGGGCAGTATATATTAGTAAGTTATTTATTCCTGGATCCTGAGTTTCTATTTGCTCCATTAGCAGGAGATTCCTGAAGGTGAGTAGCAAAGAATCTAGCACCCTCATTAGCACTCTTCTCTCAGCCCTTGGTATTAGGATGATCGCATGAAGCAGCCCGTGTTCTTTCCAGAATTAGACTCTGAAGTGCTGCTCCTTTATGTTCATGTTAGAAACAGTTCTTTGTCATCTAAGCCAAGGAACATTGCAATTTAGCTTGTTCCTTTAAAATACAGTTTCAACAGGAGTTGCTTTGTAGAATGTATTAGAATTGCTTTTTTTTTTTTTTAAGAGAGATTTTTGCTTTAGGGTACATGTGCTTGCCAGAGATACAGAAGGCAAGAAATCACATCCCCTCAGGGGGGATGACCATACCACAATCTCTTCTTCTCCATTCTCTCTTGGGATCTTGGGCATACACACATAAGCACCTGCTGTGAGTTTTAAGCTGCTGAGTCCAGGACTTGAACTGTGGTCAACTACATGGGATTTTAGCAATGTAACCATTACACCTACTGCTACTCCCAGAATTGCTATTCTTGAAAACTAAGTCATGTCTCAGTAACTTGAGCAACAAACAGACTATCATCTCAATATAGTAACTGTAAAAAAAAAAAAAAAATCCACCTAATCTTAATTTGTCAAATCGAGAAAATTAGAAAAAGGGACTATTTGTTATTTGCTTGTTTCAGAAAAGCTTTGGAGAAACTAACAACGAAAGATAAACTAACATAGACCCAACAGGTGGGATAGTGGTTAAGGTGGCTGGATTCCCTCATTCAAGTCTCAGACTAGTGACTTGAAAATCACACTGGGCATGTATACATGCATGTGTGCCCAGGATCTCGAGAGAAGTATAAAGGAGAAGAGATTGTGGCGTGGCCATCTCCCCTGGGGGGGTGATTTCTCACTTTTCCTCTCTCTGTATTTCTCTGTCTTTCTCCTCTCTGGTGAGTGCACATGCTTTGTAGAAAAAAAACTAACTAAATAAATAAAAAAGATAAACTAACATTACTATTTTCCAGATTTTTATGTAAGTGGGGTAGAAATAGGGAAATCATATATACATTTTTGTTTTATACTTCTTCCAACCACCGAGAAAGTAGGACTTGCTTTACCAATGTGATAGAATAATAAAACCAGTCCTATTGGAGCCAGCAAGGTGGAGTAGTGGTTAAGGTGGCTGGATCCCACATGACTGACTGTGTGGTTCTAGTCCTGGACCTGGTGGCTTGAAAAACATGCCAGGTGCGTGTGTGTGTGCATGCCCAAAATCCTGAGAAGAGAATGGAGGAGAAGGTATTGCAGAGTGGTCACACCCCTAGGGGATGCTTGCTCTCTCTCTCTCTCTCTCTCTTCTTTGTCTGTATTCAGTAAGCACATGTACCCTACAGCAAGCTAAGAAAAAAAAA